CGATGTGCCACGCCGCTCGAGAATGAACGATGGAGGTTGCCACAACCTAATCAAAGTCGGCTATATTACTTGAGCGTCCTCGTTTCCTCCTCCTCCTCCTCCTCCGCCTCCTCCTCCTCCTACTCCTCCTCCTCATCCTACTCCTACTCCTACTCCTACCCCTACTCCTACTCCTCCTCCCCCTCTCCCTCCTCCCTCCTCTCTCCTCCTTCCTCCCCTCTCCCTCCTCCCTCCGTCAGACTTCTGAAAAATTGGCTGGGCCGCAGACTTCGCGCATGTCTGCAGCGAAGGCGAAGTCAACAACGGCAGGGAGTCCGATGCCCCAGCCAGCGTCGATTGGAACCGCAGGGACACGATGAATTCAGAGAGATCTCAAGATGTGATTGTGCAATTGTTTGTTGGGGGCTTGCTCTGGAACGTATCCAGTGGTTTCTAGATTCGAGCTCAGGTGGCTACGGTTCACTCAACAAACTCTCGCAATAGATATATAGATGCATGCATGCATGCACACCTGCAGCTATTCATGCAAAGTACGCGCAACCACGCGCTGCAGTGGCAACGATGCTGCGATGCACGTTCGCAAGTGGCCACATACTCTCCTGCAGGCCGAGGCGCGCGGGCGCGTCTCAGGCCGCCGCCGCGGCGGCCCTGGGATCTCGGAGGGCGCTGGAGCTTTGCCAGCGCCCAATGTTTTCACGCCAGGCGTTCTGACGCGGCTTCGAGCCCCGGGCTCATCACGGATCAATCTGGCTCGGCAAATGCAGCAGAACGATGGGATCTGGGGCTCCCAGCAGCGTTTACGGCACGTCGGATCTCAGGGGAGGGCCCCACTGGATGCTCGATCGCTCAGATCGAGCGCTGGTTTCGCCCCGCTGATTTCGCCGACGGCTGGTTTCGCCGGCGATGGTTTCGGCGGCGCTAGCTTCGCCCCGCTGGTTTCGCCCCGCTGGTTTCGCCGGCGCCTGGTTTCGCCGGCGCTGGTTTCGCCGACGCCGTCGTCGCCGCGGGCGGACGGACCCTAGCGGGCGGGTCGGGTCGGGTCGGGCGGACCGACCCTGACGGGCGGGTCGGGTCGGGCGGGCGGACCCTAGCGGGTCGGGTCGGGTCGGGTCGGGCGGGCGGACCCTGACGGGCGGGTCCGGTCGGGCGGGCGGGACCTTAAAAGTGTGGAGCGCGCTCGACCGAGGCACGCGCGAACCTTAAACGGGCGGGTCGGGTCGTTCGGACCCTAGCGGGCAGGTCGGGTCGGGTCGGGCGGGCAGACCCTAGCGGGTCGGGTCGGGCGGGCGGGACAAAAAAGTATGGAGTGTGCGACACGCTCGACCGATCACGGGCGAACCCTATCGGGCGGGTCGGGTCAGGCGGGCGGACCCTAGCGGGCGGGACGGGTCGGGTCGGGCGAGCGGACCCTGACAGGCGGGTCGGGTCGGGCGGGCGGACCCTAGCGGGCGGGTCGGGTCGGTTCGGGCGGGCGGACCCTGATGGGCCGGGTCGGGTCGGGCGGGTGGGACATTGGGGCACGCTCGACCGAGGCACGCGCGAACCCTAGCGGGCTGGTCGGGTCGGGCGGGCGGAACCTGACGAGCGGGTCGGGTCGGGCGGGCGGGACATTCAAGTGTGGGGCACGCTCGACCGAGCACGCGCGAACCCTAACGGGCGGGTCGGGTCGGGCCGGCGGAACCTGACGAGCGGGTCGGGTCGGGCAGTTTCGCCGACGGCAGCTGGTTTCGCCGACGGCAGCTGGTTTTACCGACGACAGCTGGTTTCGCCGACGGAGCTGGTTTCGCCGACGGAGCTGGTTTCGCCATGCGGCGAAACCAGCCGTCGGCGAAACCAGCGGTCGCCCCCCAAACGTGGTGGTGACAACACCCGGCGGTGAGTCTCGGGCGATTTGGTGTCACCACCCGGTTTGGGGACCCGTGGTTTTTCGAGGATGTGCCGAACGCTGGTGGGTCCAGGAGTCACCAAACCCGGCGGTGACCCCGTGTCCCAAAACCCGGCGGTGACGTTTGAGGATTCCAGGTCACCACCTGATACGTACGGCAGGTTCATGTCGTGCCAACTTCGGCGTTGGTTCCTGACACCGCGGGGATCGTTCAACCTTGAACGATCGGCCATTTCCGAAACGTCCAAATCGTTCCACACCGAACGATTCTGGGTCGCCCGCGGCGTTCAAAGTTGAACGCCGCTGGCGGGGTCGCCGCCGGTCGACACGACACGAACCTACCGTATCTCACCACCTGGCTTGGGGGCGCCCGGGAAGTGGTCGAGGCCGAGGCCCCGGGTCTCTTGGCCGGCGTCACAAAAAGGGAATGCAGCATCGGAGGGCAGGACCCAGGGGGCCCCGCCTGGAGCCAAGCGCGCCGCTCGCGCGTTGGTGCTGCGTCGGACGTCCATCGACGTGAGGTCGAACTCGAGCCGAGCTAGAGTCGAGCTAGAGTCGAGCTAGAGTCGGACCGGGGATTCTGACTAGAGTCGATCAGGTCCGTCGGGGGGCCCCCGGGAACGTTCCGAAAACGAACATCTAGGCCACAGGCTGGACCCACACTCCCGACGTCATGAATTGTTCGCAGCCTGGACCCCCCAGGAGGTCTGCCCTGGGATCCTGGCGCCATGTGTTTGTCGCGCCGGGTGACTGATCCCCATGTTTCGGGCCCCGGGGCCCGATGCCGCAGACAAAAGTCCAGGGCCCCCTTTGGTGATTTCCCCAGTAGCTGCACGTTTTCGCGACGCCGCATTCCAGGGAAGGTCTGCACCCCTTCCCTGGGGCGAGCTCTTCATGCCGAGCCGCTTTCTGGCGGCCCCAAGGCCTGGCAAGAGCCCCCAGAGGCCGAAAACAGGGGAAAGCCTTCCGTCGTGATTCTGCACACGACGCCCTGAGATCCGACGTTGCCAAAAGACAATGCGACACCGAAAAAAAACACGAGTGGCGCTCTTGACCCGACCTTTGTTTGGGGGGTAGGTGGATCTCTCAAGCTCTCCGCCGCCTCTGGCGGTGTGCGCTGCGATCAGGAACACAGCAAAGCCACTTTTGGTAGGTGGATCTCTCAAGCTCTCCGCCGCCTCTGGCGGTGTGCGTTGCGAGCAGGAAAACAGCAATGCCGCGCTTTCCTGTGGCTTTTCTGCGGCAGCTTCCCTGTCCGATCGATCTGTGATGGCCCAAGGGTTCGAAGCCAGGCGAACGCGCCCGATGCGAAAAAGCTGCAGCGCCCAGAGCGTTTCTGCAGCTCCTGCGACAAGCCCGATGCCCCTCTGGTTGCCTCTCTCGGGGGCGCGCCAACATGGATTAGCAATCCATGGATTCGGCGCGCGGTCGCCAAATCCATGGATCGGGGGGGTCCCTCCCCAGAATGCGGCCGGTGCCGCCTCGTTCGGCGGCGAAAATCCGCGATTTCCCATGGAAACGGGACCCGTCGCTAATCCACGCCCCCTTAATCCATGTTTGCGATCGCCTGACTCTCCCAGCGTCCCGCCGACGGCGTGTGCAACAGGGCGACGAAGCAGAGTGGAGGAGGACACGGCCAAGGAAACACAGACACGTGCGTTGTGTGCGGACTCTCCCCCGGAGCCCAAGCGGCCAGATATACACACCGCACCGCGGCAGGATCTCAGGCGACGGTGCAGAGGACACCGCTCCGCCACCGCCACGGCAGCCGACGCGGCGTACGAGGCCGACGCCCTCGGCGCCGAAGGGCGCTCCTCTGCTGGCCGAGAGGGCTGGCGCCGAGCAGCAGAAACCAGCAGAGAGCAGCAGAGGCCAGCAGAGAGCAGCAGACACCGGCAGAGTCGAGCCGACATCAGCGGAGGGCTCGACCTAGCGCGTTCCATTTTCGTTTTGTGATCGTTTTCCCTCGTTCGCTCTGCGTTCCGCCTTGGCTGCAGAAAGAGAAGTCGAACGGCCCACGAAATCGCCAAAACACCATTCAGGTCAAGCCCTGCCAGTAGACACCAGCAGAGTCCAGCAGAGAACAGCAGCACAGACCAGCAGAGTTCCGGAAAAAACATCAGCAAACATCCCGACTGGAGCCCTAGCTCCATTTTGCTGCACCATTCGTCGAGAAGGATCAACCTGCTATGGTCCCCATATCCGAATCCACGCGAGAACGCGCTGCGTGAAAAAAGCAAATGCAACGCCCAGATACCAGCATACACAAGCAGAGGCCAGCAAAGAGCAGCAGCAGCAGCAGCAGCAGCAGCAGCAGCAGCAGCAGCAGCAGAGACCCTCAGAGGCCAGCAGAGAGCAGAGACCCATGCGCTAGGGGCTTGGGTCACGCGGCCAGCGCCCACGGGCCTCGGGCCGAGCATCGGGCCAATGGTCGGAGGCCCTCGCGGAGGCCTCCGGACGCCTTCCCGGGGCGCCCTCGGAGTCCTTCGGGTGCCCTCGGAGGCCAGCGGAGGCCCCCGGAGGCCCTGGGAGGCCCCTCAACGAAGGCCCTCGGCACGGGCCTCCCCGTGGCCCCAGACAACTTGCGGATGAATTGTTCCTCCGGGCGTGTTTCCCGAAGTTCGGCCCCCAGGGCAGGTGTCGGGCCCCGGGGCCATCAAACGCGGAGCCAGGGCGAAACCTGCCCTCTTGGGGAAGTGGTCGAGGGACGAGAGGCGCAGGACCCTCAGAGCTGGGCGTCGTGGGAAGCTATAACGGCGGGCGTCTGCGCCCCACGTCTAGCCCCTCCAGGGTCCTCAAGAGATCGACCCCGCTCAGGATGGTGAGGCCGAAAGCTGGGGCTCGGGAGCTCCAGTCTGCTTCTCGTCCACGCTCTGTTTTTGTCCACTGCGCCAGGGCCCAGGGGAGTGCTCAATCAGTAGCGCAGAGCCTCCAAGCGCCCCACGGCCTCCAGAGGTGCCGCACAGCGAGGGGCTGGCGCGAAGCACTCGGGTCACAAACCTTCGTCACAGGCACGAGGCAGCGTTTCGATGAACATCGAGCCCTGTCGCCCAGATCGGAGGACGATGCAAAGCAGGGCAGAATACGACGCACGATTATGAGAACGGCAGCAGACATCCTGTACGTCAGCAAATGCGATAAGGCAGAGAAGAATACAGCCATCCATCAGCGGGTCCTGGCTCTCGATTGTCTCCCAGGCACATCCATCGGCTGAGAGCGGCTCGTATGTTTCACCGCCCCATACCCTCCTCGCCCCGCCCCTGCGCGCCGCCACTTGCCATCGCTCGGACGTCCGTTCCCCGTGCATGTGTCGGGTTGCGCTTATTGCTCGCGCGATGATCCACGATGCTTCTCGATGGTCCTCGCTGAGAAAAGAAGAATAAGAAAACAACAACACAAAAAAAAAAAAAAAAAAAAAAACACACGCGCACGTCCGAGCGACGCCAAGCCTCCGCCTCCACACTGCAGCTGCTTTGCTGTCCCCCTCGACGCATTCCACGGGCACCTCTGCCGCCGAGGTCGGCACACCTGGTGCGCAGGGGCCCTGGCCTCGCCGCCCCGTGCGCGCGCGCTCCTCGGCTTACTCGCCGAGAAGTGCTTGCACGCAGGGCCTCTTGCTCGTGTTCTGCTGAACTGGCCGTGCTTGTCGCCGTCGGCCGCGCCCGTGCATGGCCTGGCCTGGTCGGTGCTCTACTCGATGATCCTCACAACACGTGCTGGCGTCGACGTGTGCTGGCCAACCGAAGCCCCTGCGATACGACGCAGGAGGTGCAGGTGCGGGCTGACACAGGCTGCGCGGAGCCGAACGGGGTAAACACACGCTTGGGCTCACACACGTCCTGGGAACCATCGCTCTACGCCCTCGCTCCCGGATGGTGCCATACGCTGAGTGCCCGGTGGCGCCCTCTGGTTGTGCCCTGTGGTACCCGATGCGTGTTGCCTATGGTTGGCGCCCTACGACGCCCCACATGTCGTGCTTCCCAGAGCGACAAATCACTGGTGCGGCATCGGCCCTGTGCTGTGAGTTGTCTTCCAGACGAGCGGTCTTCCTGAGCAGTGGCCGCACAGAATTGAGCTGGGCTCCTAGGGCCCAGGTGAAAATGGTGCGATCTGCGAGTGGGACAACGGCGCGGGGTACGCTGTGACATGGTTAGGACATGCTCTAAGCCAGATGACCTGCGGGCAGAATTCGTGCCACACCATGGGCACGCATTCGGATCCACGACCACCGAGTACAGGTCCCCGATGCTGTGAGCGTGCGTGATGTGGGCTGAGGGTGCCTTGCCTGTAGAAGCAGTCGCCACACGGAATGCCTTGTGCACCTCCACGTGCGTACACGCACTGGTCTACCGCTGCTCTGTTCGCTTGTGCCGTGCTGGGCTGGTCCCAAGGGGGGTCCCTGGAGTCCTCGGGCACTGTGTCGCCGTCGACGGCAGGCATGCGCAGTTCTCCTTCCAGGTAGCGACGCCCATGCCCACCAAGTTTAACCTTGGCCAACCTTTTTCGACACTGCGCCCACATACACTCACACCCGCGCTCGCCATGCATGGTCGAAGACTGCTTGTGTCCGGGGCAACGCTGCGAGGTCCTCCACGCATTGCATTCCCCAGGGAAGTGAAGTGGGAGAGATCCCTTGCTTATCAAAACAGACACGCGCCTGCCGACAGCCACGCACCTCTCACACGTCAGATTGCATTGCGAAACTACTCGATGCCACTAAACTCGTGTGATAATGCTGGAACGATGAGGAGGGAGGACGAGGGGGAGGGAGGGCCAGAGCAGGGGGCGGGGCTGGGGCTGGGGCCGGGGGCCAGGGCTGGGGCCTGGGCCGGGGCCTGGGCCGAGACTCGGGTCGGGGCCGGGGCCTGGGCCGAGACTCGGGTCGGGGCCGGGGCCAGGGCTGGGGTGGGGACTGGGGCTGGGGCTGGGGCCGGGGCCGAATCCAGGGCCGAAACGAGGGGAGGGATCCTGAGTTCCCCTGCCGACAGGGAGACCATCACCTTGTCCCCCTTCTCCACAGACCCGATCACCACTGCTTAAAACCTTGGCGAGGGCGAGAAGTAGTAAAGAGCCAACGGCGAACGAAGGAGAGGGGAGGAGGACGAAGGACTACTAACACCTAGACGTGGCAATCTAAAGGGTCGCAGCCGTACGCTGCGCACAGTAATCAAAAACGATCCGTAGCCCCGGACCTGGGCCAGGCAGGGGACAGGGAGGAAGAGGACAAAGGCAAACTCCCATAGCAAACCCGCGCGTGCAGGCAAATCTGACCGGAAGCCGCCCGCACCGGGGGGCGGGGCACGGAGCGAGGAGACAAGGACAGAAACTGCTGGGCGAAAGCACTCGCCAACGAAACGGTAGAAAGCTGAGGCGACGGGAGCTGGTATCTGCGCTCCCCCGGGCAGCGCGTGCGACAACCGCGACGGCTGGCATGAGGGGGAGGCATGGGGCAGATCCAGGGCCGCTCAGCAGCGAGCACGGAGGGGGCCACACGCGTTGCCCCCCGCACGCGGTGCGCGCATGCGACACCCATCCGCAGGAGCAGGCGGGGGGAGAGAGGAGAGGAAGGGGCGCGAACAACCAGCCTCCGCGAGCGACTACCGTACCCTTCGGGGGGGATCGGGGACGAGACAGAGAGAGGAGGCAGAAAGCTGGCCCACCACAGCAGGGCTGGCCAGCGCTCCGCCTCCAGGAATCAAGAGCGGGAGGAAAGAGACGAGAGGGGGAGGCTCGCAATTACAGCGCCTCTGCGGCAGTCTCCAAATCCGGCGTGGGAGACCTGAACAAAGAACGAACAACAAAAAAAACAGGGGAAGGTGGCAACTGCAGGCTCGCACCGAGCATTCCGACCTCCAGCCGCCCACCTAGCCTGGAACATTTCGTCCAGCCTGCCTCGACCAACAGGGTGACACCGCCCTCAAAACTACAGCCCTAACACGTACTGGTCCAGGTCATACTGCTGCAGCCCGAAGTCGTGCAGCAAGCACCACCCAGAGAAGCCACGGAAACCACGAAAGTTCTTGAGGGCAAATCCTGCGCCTTGGGCTACATGGCGCTGCTGGAGCTTGATACTGTTGGCGAGCGATGTATGACTGCAGGGGCGGTAGCCGCCCAGCAGCGGCTTGCTGAGTAGGCGCTGCTCCGTCGTGGTGGACACCATGGTAGTTATCGACTCCGTAGTACTAGATGCCGACGTGGTGCCCGCGCTCGTCGTGGCGGTCATCGTGGTAGTGCACGACTCCGTGATGCTGAACTCCGACGCGGTGCTCAATTCCGTCGTGGCGGACAGCACGGTAGCGCTCAGTACCATTAAACTGGATAGCGAAGTGGTGCTCAACTCCGTCAAGGTCAACGATGCGGCAACGCTCGAAACTATAGGGCTGACTGCCGACGTGATGCACGACTCCACCGTGGTGGTCACCGTGCTGGCGGTGCCGCTGCCAGTAGTTCTGGCGTCGGTGCTGGCGTCGGCGCTGGTATAGGCGCTGACTTTAGTGCCAGCGTAATCGCAGGCGTTGATGCTGGCATCGGTGCTGTCGTAGGCGCTAGCGTAGGCACCAGCGTTGGTGCTGGCGGTGTTGGCGTCGGTGCTGATGTAGGCTGAGGCGTTGGTGTCGACGTAGTCGCCGGCGTTGATGATGGCGTCGGTGCAGGCATCGGTACTGGTGTAGGCGCTGGTGCTGGTGCCAGCGTACGCGCAGGCGTTGATGCTTACGTCGGTGCTGTCGTCGGCGCTGGCGTCGGCGCCGGCGTTGGTGATGGCGTCGGTGCCGGCGTCGGCGCTGGAGCAAGTGAACGTTGAAGCTATGCGTTCTAGTGGGAGTCCTCGAATGATGCATGCCTGAGGTGATCCACTCCACTGGTGTCAGACAGCCAGGGCGATACGAATTTACTAGAAGACCGCATCGGCTCCACCGGGGAGGAAACAAGAAAGTAGGGCATATCGAATATGCCGCACCATCTACAAGCCTCTGGTCGCCAACGCCTCCCTTGGTAACGACATCGACTTAATCGATGTCGGAACCAGGGGAGGAGTAGGCCGGTCGAAAGGGCGGGCCGGGCGTTTCGCTTGAGACTTCCTGATGTGCTACATTTTCACGGATGGAGGGCGGCCCACAAAATTTGGCTCTAGCCTTAGCACCGCGCACATTCGTTTCAAAAATACGCAAGAGCTTCACGGATGGAGGGCGGTCCGTTTTCAAAATGTGGCTCTCGCCTAAGCGCCGCGCACATTCGTTGTACAAGTTTGCAAGAGGTTCACGGATAGAGAGCGGTCCTTTTCAAAATGCGGCTCTCGCACTAGCGCCGCGCACACTCTTGTTACGAGTTCGCAAAGGTTTCACGGATGGAGGGCGGCTCCTTTTCAAAAGGTGACTCTCGCCTGAGCACCGCGCACATTCGTTTCAAAAGTTTGCAAGAGCTTCATGGATGGAGAGCAGTTCCGTTTCAAAATGTAGCTCTCGCCAGAGCGCCGCGCACACTCATCTTAAGAATTGCAAAATGTCAAGGGTTCTCATGGCTAACGTCCCAGATATGATCAAGAAAATGCGTTTTGGCAAGATGTCGGAATGTCAGGGCGCAACAGCCACGGTTGATTCGCGAAATTGAGGTCCCAGGACTGGTGTCCTGGCACAATTAAGATCGCCAGTACTCAACAAGAGCGGTGATTCGGGGCGTTAATGTCCCAGGAATGACGTTCTGCCACAATTCCGTATTTTCCAACGCTTATCTTCCAATGGGGCACTTCCCTCAGTGAAAATGAATCCGTGCAGGAACCTGTGAACAGGGAACTTGGTAGGGGTCCTTGCTATATCGTTGATGAGTCTTGGGCTTACACTGGTCCTCATCGGCCTCCTCCTCCTCCTCCTCCTCCTCCTCCTCCTCCTCCTCCTCCTCCTCCTCCTCCTGCTCCTCCTCCTTCCCCTCCCTCTCCCCATCCCCATGTTCCTCCTCCACCTCCTCCTGCTGCGCACTGCGACCCTTTCCCACCCCTGAGAGGGGTGAAGGGGGCGCGGAGCGATGGTGGAGGAGAGAGTCTCTCCTCCGCCAACGCTCCGCGCCATCGCCGGCGTCAGTGGCATCGGCGTCGGCGTCGGCGCCGACGGCGGCGACGGCCCCGGGCGCAACGAGGCAGATCCGGGGGGGGGGGCGCCTCGCCGCAGGCCGGCGCCCGGCGCGGCCGCCTCTGGCACCTCGGGGGGAGGCCCGCCGCAGCGTCAGGCCCGAAGTGCAGGGCCCGCAGGGCAGGCCTCCGGGGCTGGCCGCCGACGGGCCGCCGGCAAGGCCCGTCACCAGGCCCCCCGGGGCACGCCTGTGGTCACGCCACGGGGGGGAGGAGAGCGGAGGGAGTAGGAGGGAGGAGGAGGGGGGAGGAGGGCGAGGGAGGAGGGAGGGCGACAGAGGAAAAGGGAGGAGGAGGAGGAGGAGGAGGAGGAGGAGGAGGAGGAGGAGGGAGAAGAAGAAGAAGAAGAAGAAGAAGAAGAGGAGCGCACGTAGCTTGAATCCACGGTGATCCAATTACCGCCGAAGTTCTGCCACCACATTGCGGCGAGAGCAGCGGCTCGTACGTCGTAGTTCTATGCAGGCGACGGGGCACGGGTCCCGCTCGCCATGTCAGATTTCTGCCTGTAATATATCTATATATATATATATTAAAAAATGGAAACTCAACACGACAATGTAGTGACAGCGATGGCGTGACCATTCAGACTCGATGTCCGCGGAGGGGCCAAAGCCAGGACGAGAGAGGGAGCAGGCAGGGAAATGGCCACGAAGGAGAACTAGGAAGTGGAGCAGGCGACGGCACAAGATTTAATGGGACATGGAATCGGATTCTGTACATCCGAAAAAAACAGCGACGAGACTGGGCGCTGGGGATGCGAGCCGACGTCGTCCAGCCGCTGGCAAGTGTCTTGGCGTGGGCCAAGGCCCAAGACGGGGGAATGTGTGTCATAAGATCTGGCGAAGCGCAGCCCACCTCTTGGTCAGTTCTGGGAGCGGGGGCGCTGACGAAGTCTGCAGAGTGGGTCCCGCCATCACCGTGTTCCAGACAGGCTCCTCCGAAACATGGCCACCGCACCAGCCCTAGAGACGACGGCATAGGAGTGAGGGGAGAAGATCAGGGAACGAGGAAGAGGAGGTGGATCGCGCGAGTACTCGCTGCGGCCGCGGGCGGCGCGTTTCCTCGCCTGCGTGCCGAAACTCTTCACGCGCCGCGGCCGTCGCTGTCCACCACACGTCCCCAGGGATACCCAGAGCATGGGAAGCGACGGGTGAGAGACTGGCAATCAATTCACATATGCTCGTCTGGTTCATCCAGCACTCAAGGCTGAGGCGCCCTGTTACGACGCGTGGGAGAGTCCCAAACATCTTAGCCTGCGAGGACAGAATGTCGAGCGAGGCCCGCCACCCACCCTCCCAGAATTCACGAAGCGTGTGAGACGCCGTGCGCCACGCCGACGCCGCACACATTACTCGAAGCGAACGCGGGGTGGCCGAGGCGAGCCAGTTACCAATGCTGAGAAGCTTAGCGAGGCCAATGGAGCTGGGGTGAGGCGCAGGAAGCGGTGGAGGACGTGACGTCCCGCGCGGAGGAGGAATACAGGAGGGGGGAAGAGATGGCATAGGTAGCTCAAGACACTGATGGCGCTAAAGTTATTGAGGCGGCAGCTGGCTACTGTCGGTGACCTAGACAGGGCAATCTCTCGAACTCGTTCACGCCACTTGCGTGTGGGTGCCGCCCACTTGGCGTCGAGCTCCGCCGACGGGCCGAATTACACACCAAGGAAATGTGTGGATCCAGCTATCGTGAAATCAGCCCATGCTGGTATGAGGGTCCGGATCTGCTGTCGAGATTGCTGAACTACCGCGTCGGAGCACCGCTCGGCAAAGGGAACGATGGCACACTTCGCTGGCTGCAGAGAAAGGTTGGCAGAGGTGCGGGCGGCGTCGAAGGGGGGGGAAGAGCAGAAGAAGGAAGCCAATCGAAGGGAGCGTCGCACCCACATCGTAGGCCGTCGCTCCGCCCTCCAGCTCAAGCTTTGGAGCGCACCGGCATGGCCCCGGGCACAACCTACGAGCCTGCTGAGACTCCAGCTGGTCCGCAAGGTGAAGGTGCCTCAGGAACGGGTCCATGATCAGAGCCCAAAAAGACCCCGAGAGGGGGCATCCCTGAGCAACTCCGGAGGTCACCAAGAAGATGGGGAGCTTGGAGCCGCACCTGGAGTGGGCGAGAGGCCCTGAGTAAAGACCGGCGTTCAAATTCGTCTAGCCCGTCGGCATTCGGTGCTAAGCAGGGACCGAGAAGAGGAAGATCTGGGAGAGTGAGATAAAAGCAGCGCGAATATCAAACGAGACCAAAAACGGAAGGAAGGAGAAATGGTGGCCAGCAGCTCGGGCTATCGCATCCTGGCACACGATGTGCGAAAGAAAAGTACGGCCTCGAATGAAGCTTTGTTGCGAGCCGTGGGCCCGCTCAGCCACCAGCGGCACCAGCTGCGCATTCACCGTCGCCGCCATTGCCTTCCCGTCCGAGCTTCTCAGAAAGAGGAGCGGCAACTTAGACGCGTGGCGGGGGACCTCCAAGATGCCCGTCGAGTCAGTGCCATTGGGAGCGAAGCCCACGTCCGCGAAGAGCGCCAGCGTGAGGCCATGCAGGGCGTCTGTGAGGCGATCCTCCACGAGCCAGGCCGCGGCCCGTAGGCGGTCGGGGCCCGGCGCCGTCGGGCGGGCGCGTCGAAAGGCAGCCCGGAGCGCAGCCGGCGAGGGGACCTCCGGCCGTGGCGCGGGGAAGTCGGGGAGGTGCTGGTCGATGTAGTCCGGCCTCATCGATGGGCTGGTCGGTGAGGATCGGGCCCCAGAGCCGCCGCAGCACGTCCATGATGGCAATCGGTTCCCTCTCCGCGGACGTCGAGTGGCCCTCAGCATCCATGCGCACCCACGCCAAGACGAGGCGGCGGCAATACGGGGCCCACAGGAGGGCCCGCCGCTGGGAGTACCGCTGGAGCTTGTTGAGCTGAAGTACCCGACGGCCCGTCACCACCGGGACGGAGTCGAGCCTCCTCACGCAGCCGCTCCGAAGCATGGCATTGCTGCCGCTCGTGCCAGACGGCGTGCAGGAGGCGGCAGGTCTGCTCGAAGCGCCCAGGGACTGGCAACGCGATCGACCTGTCCCCTTTGGTCTGGAGGTCGCAGCGGCCGAACTCCGTGGTGTCCTGCAGCTTCTGGGCCAGCGCCAGGAGGAAGAGGAGGAGGAGAAGAAGGAGGAGGGGGAGGAGGAGGGAGAAAGTAAGGGGGGATGAGGCAGAAGGGGGATAGAGGAGGGATAGGGAGGGAGGTGGTTACGCCACTGGGAGGAGGAGGGACGGGGATGGAGGAGGAGGGAGTGCGAGAAAGTAGGGAGGAAGGCAGGAGGAGGAGGAGGGAGGAGCATGTAAGAGGGAGGAGGGAGAAGCGCGCTCTCCAACAGGGGGCAAAGCCGGAGGAGAAGGTCAGATGACACGCCAGGTGCGCCCGTCCTTGCAAGCTGTATTTTTCATGGCGACGGGGCACACCTGGAAACTCCCTGGCCAGGCTCAGAAATGAAATGGCAGGGAGATCATGCAATCCCACTCTGGTGCGGATGAGTTGCTGAATCCTCGCTTTGGCGAGGTGCTCAATTTTCATCGGGCCAACTGTGTGATGATGCCGACGCTCGTGCTGTGCATCGCGGCCAGTTGATCCAACGCAGCGAGTTCTCGAGCGGGACACGCCTAAATCAATTACCAGCAAGCCTTGGCGGGTGGATGGTCAGGCGTGTGCAAAGAATAAGCGGGCCGCACCCGATGCACGAGGAATACTCGACGCGCAGGTGCAGGAGACAGGTCCGAGAAAAGAGAACAGCGCAAGAGAGGAGGCGACCGCGCTGGGGTGCAGGGCGGGAGGCCGAGGAGGAAGGGGGGGGAGTGGTGAAAGGAGGGCGAAAGGAGGAAGGCGAAAGAGAAGGAGAACGGAGAGAAGGACTGCAAGAACAGGAAGTCGAGGTTGAGGAGGAAGAAGACTGCTTATTATTCCTCCGTTTGTCCTTCTTCCTCATCCTCATCCTCTCCATTCCTCAATATCCCACTCCTCATCCTCCTGCCCTCTAATCCTCCACCAGCATAATCATCGTCATCAGCATCAGCATCATGATCCTCATCATCGTCGTCGTTCTTACCATCGTACTCATCGTCAACGTCATCATCATCATCACCACTCTCGTCGTCGTTGACATCATCAGCAGCATCATCAGCACCAGCAGCAACAGCGTCATCATCAGTATCGCCGCCATTGACATCGACATAATCATCATCGCCATGATCATCAGCATCATCAGCATCATCATCATCAGCATCATCACCATCATCATCATGATCATCATCATCATCGTCATCAGAATCAGCAGCAGCAGCAGCAGCATCAGCATCATCATCACCACCACCACCATCATCATCAGCATCAGCATCAACAGCATCAGCATCATCATCAGCAGCATCAGCAGCATCGTCATCAACATCATTATTAAGTATCGTCATTATCATCATCAGCATGATCATCATCAGCATCAGCATCATTATCATCGTCGTTGTCGTCGTCATTGTCATGATCGTAGTCATCGTCATCGTAATCGTAATCGTCATCGTCGTCCGTCACCCTTTCGCTACTCATCCTTCTCCATCGCTCCCCGTCCTTCCTCCACCACCTCCCTCTTACTTACGGGCATAACCTCCCCGTGGCCGCCCAGGGGCCTCCCCTGAGATCCGACTTCACGAAAACATGCAACATCGTGAAAATATAAAAAGACACCAGAGACAAACAAACAACAAAACAAAAAAACACTCGACTGGGGAGCCCTGGACCCCATTTGTCTGCAGCAATTTTTCGGCCGGATCGATCCGTGAGGCTCCCGGGGCCCCGAACGGGGCAGCCCCGCGGGTGCGCGAAGAACTGCAACGCCAGGATCCAAAGGACCTCGGAGGGGCCCGCCGAGGGGTCGCCGACGACCCGCCGAGAGCCCCCCAAGGAACCGCCGAGGGCCCGCGCCCGCCGAGGGGCCGCCGGAGGCCCCGCGCCCGCGAGGGGACCGCCTGCTCCCACAGCCCCTGGCAGTCGGGCGGCTGCGAGCCACCCCGCGCGGTGAAGCAGCTCGACCCTGTAATGGGACCTGCGCCCGGGCGTCCCGGCCAGCGCCCCGCTTCGGGGGGGTCCTCCCTCTTCCCTCCTCCTCTCCCCTTCCACCTCTTCCCTCCCTCCTGCTCCTCCCCCCTCCTCCTCCTCCTCCTCCTCCTCCTCCTCCTCCTACCACCTCCTCCTCCTCCTCCTCCTCCTTCCTCCTCCTCCTCCAGGCTCCTCCTCCTCCTCCTCCTCCTCCCTCCTCCTCCTCTCCTCCTCCTCCTCCTCTTCCTCCATCTCCTTTCACTCCAGTTCCTCCTCCTCTACCCCTCCTCCTCCTCCCTCTCCTCCCTCCTCCTCCTCCTTCACGCTCCCTCCTCCACCTCGTCCCTCCACTTTTCCACTTTCCACCTCCTCCTCCTCCTCCTCCTTCCTCTCGCTCCTCCTCCTCACTACCTCCTCCTCCTCCCCTCCTCCTCCTCCTCCTCCTCCTCCTCCTCCTCCTCATCAACATCATCATCATCATCATCATCATCATCATCATCATCATCATCATCATCATCATCATCATCATCATCATCATCATCATCATCATCATCATCATCATCATCATCATCATCGTCGACGTCGTCGTCGTCGCCGTCGTTATCGTCATCATCATCATTCATCGTCATCATCATCATCATCAGCATAATCATCATCATCATCATCATCATCATCATCATCATCATCATCATCATCATCATGATCATCATCATCCCTCCTTCCCTCCTCCCTCACTTCCTCCCTTCCTCCAGCCTGCTCTCCTCCTCCTTCTTCTCCTCCTCCTCCTCATCCTACTCCTCCTCCTCCTCCTCCTCCTCCTCCTGCTACTCCTCCTCCTCCTACTCCTCCTCCTCTTCCTCTTCCTCCTCTCTCCTCCTCCTCCTCCTCCTCCTCCTCCTGCTCCTCCTCCTCCACTTCCTATTCCTCTTCCTCCTCGTCCTCCTGCTACTCCTCCTCCTCCTCCTCCTCTTCCTCCCCCTCCTCCTCCATTCCTCTTCCGTATAAGTATAGATTCCCTGCCGCACTCCGAGTCTGGTCGAAAAGACTGGAGGGGCGTTTCGCCTGAGACTTCCTCACCATGTGTAATCCTGAAGCTTGAAACGTGCAAGAGTGTCACGCATGGAGGGCGGTCCACTTTCAAAATGTGGCTCTCGCCTGAGCGTCGCGCACATTCGTCCTACAAAATTTCAAGAGCTTCACTGATGAAGGGTTGCCCGATTTCGAAATGTAGCTCTCGCCTTAGCGCCGCGCACATTCGTCTTCAAATTTGCACAAGTTCCACAGGAGGGCGGCCCGTTTTCAAAATGTGACTCTCGCCTCAGCGCCGCGAACCTTCGTCTGACAAAAATTGCAAGGGCTTGACGGATTGAGGGCTGCTCCGTTGCAAATGTGGCTCTCGCCTTCGCGCCGCACACATTCCTCTGAAGACTTTGCAACAATTCCAAAGACTATCATGGATATCGCCCAAAAAAACTGCGTTTCGGCAAGATGTCGGAATGTCAGGGCGCAACAATCATGTTGACCCGCGGTGATCAAATCCCAGGAAGTGTGTTCTAGCACGATTCCGGATCGTCAAGACGCAACAATAGCTTTGATTCGCGGCGTTGAAATTCCAGGAACGGTGTTCTGGCGCAGTTCCGGATTTTCAAACAGTTGTCGGCGAACGGGGCACTTCCTTCAGTGAAATGAACCCCTGTAGGAGCCTATGAAGAGGCAACTTGGAGAGGGTTATTACAATATCGTTGATGTGCCTTGGATTACACTGGTCCTCCTCCTCCCCTTTCTCCCCTTCCGCCTCCCCCTTCTCCTCCTCCTCCTCCATCTCATCATCATCATCCTCGTCCTCATCCTCATCCTCATCCTCATCCATGAATCCATCCGTCCCTTCCGATCGTAACTCCATGTCGCAGCACCAGACGCGTCCATACGCTGGGCGGGGCGTTTCGCCTGCGACTTCCCTACAGCGGAATATCCTGACGCAAACACACACAGTCACACACACACACACACAAACACGCGCGCGATCCAAGGATGGAGGGCCAGTGGTTTTCCGAATGCGTGTATCGGCTTCGCGCCGTGCACATGTGTTTTTTTAATATGCATCAGCTTCAAGGAGAGGAGGGCTAGTGAATTTCAAAATGCGATCCCTGTCTTAGCACCGCGACCTCATTCGTCTAAAAAGTTTGACACAGCTTCAAAAAAGGAGGCCTCATACTTTCCAAAATCGGTTTCCTCCTTAGCGCACGACGCATTCGTCCCACAAGTTCGCCATAGCTTCAAACATGAAGGCAAGCTTGTTTTCAGCATACGGGAACCTCGCAACATTTACAATGATGGATGGTGGTTCGTTTTCAATATGGGGCTCTCGTTGAAGACTTTCTCACATTTGAAGACCCGAATGCCGAAAACGTGTAACAGCTACGTGCACGGGTGGATGGCGGTTCCTTTTCAAAATGGGGCTATCGCTGGAGACTGCTTGGATTAACCGAACGTGAAATCTTGTACAACAGATACATGGATGGGGCGGTTTCCTTTGAAAACGGGGACCTTGCTGGATATCTCGCGGAACTGTACAACCATGGTGTTTTAAACTCCTTGCCGCTCGCTATAAGGATCCAAGGGTGCAGTTTCAAAACGGTGCCTTCGCCTGGCTGACAGGCCCATAGGGTATGCGCTTTTCAAAGGAGCACGTCCACTGGTGAGATGGAAGGCTGGCAAAGATCTATGAGGCGGGACCTTGGGACGGGAAGGTGTACTGCAGCATCGCTGATGCATCCTGGGTTTACTCTGGTCCTCCTCCGAATCTTTTTCCCTCCAAACAACCTCCTCCGTCTCATCGCCATCGCTGCTCTCGTCACCATGCCCGACATCACCATCTGAGTCAACTGACATTGTGCCCCCGCGGATGACTGAGATCATCCTCCTCGTCATCCTCGTCCTCTTCATCACTCCCCTTTCATTATTGTGGAGGCCACGACAATGGACACCGTAACAGTCCTACCCTTGTCGGAAAATTGGATGGGCATGTTTAAAACATGGTTTTACATGTTTGAAACATGGTTAACCCATGTTTTCGACATCTGGGAAAAAGTCCGCAACATGCTTCCTCTCCATTGATCGTCCTCCAGAACTTCATCATCACCCACCCACCCACCCGTCCACGCACCCACCCGCCCACCGACACCACGCAACCTGCGCTGCTCGGAGAGGGGGCAGGGGATGAAGGGGCAGCCCCAGAGGGGGGGGGGACAAGCAGACGGCGAGAGGGAGGGGAACGAGGAGGAGAAAGAGGAGGAGGAGGAGGAGGCGATGGGGGGGGAGGGAGGAGGGAAGGCACAGGAAAACAGGACGCGACGTGGCTCGCACGCCTGAGCGACGCAACGGTCTGAGACTCGAAGGCACTACCCCATACGAAGCAGTACAAGGTTATACTCTCGAGGTGACGCAGAGGCGGCGACTAAAGGTCGTTGGGCTGATACGTTTCTCGTTTCCAGAAGACGAAGTTTGGTGCCTGGTGGGCCATTCGTGCGTTTGGTGTTTGCAGCCCCGTGACCTCTTCGGGATCTGCGTGAGCCACCTTGTCAGATGCGGCGAGGGGCCAGTCGGAGAGCCTCTTGCCTCGAGCGCCGTGGCACACGCGCGGCGGGAAGCTGGGGCGGACGGCATCGGCAAACGGCGGGCGGCGCACCTCGCCAAGACAGTCAAGCCAGACGGTCAGATGTTGTCAACATCGGGACAACGTTTCGCCCCCTGGAGGCCTGGTGAAGAACCTACACCTCAGCGTGGTGTTCGGGTCAACGTGCGACTGGAAATACTGACATTCCTTGATCTGCGCAAAGTCTGGAGGCGGACCATCAAAATTGTATATGAAACTACGCTGCAAGTCCTGCTTGCACGTTACCCAGAAAACGGTCCATGGATCAACAGAAATCTTATTGCACAATCGCTGAATTGCTGATTCATTGACTGACTTCAAGTCTTCATTAAGTGCAATCGCAACATCATCCGTCCGAGAAAACGTGCAATCATTTCGAATCAGCGTAACCTGATGCATCCACCGTCCGCGAGGCATTTGCGGCACCATTTCGCCACAAAGAAACTCTTTGTCATCGTCCTCTGGTTCCAAATGGCACGCGTGCTTTAATTCAACACAGGTCCACTCTTTGGCCATCACTCTTGCCTTGGCAAAACTCATCTCATTCGGCTCACTATCTGAATGGTCCGCGACGATCACCTCTGTAGCGTCCAAAATCTTCGGGCAGTGTTCCGAAGTGTACATAACTGGTACTTTAAGCTTCCCTAGCGGCTTTGCCGTTCGGGAGCTAAAGATCCCCAGTTGCTCGGCAATCCTCTTTGCAATTGTGATCTGGTTGTTTGTGAGGAAATCGTATTTGAGGCACTTGTCGCCATGAGTAGAAATATCATCATTGTCGCTTCTATCATAGCTGCCTCGGCAAGCCTTGCAACAATTATCTGAGCAATCTACATCCTCGTAGCATTTCCTCGGCTTTGCCGTTATCCGTTCCTCTGCCGGTTCCTCGGGCGATCTTTTGTCCTCCGAGGGGTTCACCTTGGACTATGTCCAGGTGATCCCCGCGAGGTATCTGCATCCTATTGTTTTGCACGGAGAGAGAACCACCCGCCCTTCGTCTGCATCTCAAGCGCCAGCACCGCCGCGAGAGCAAGAGTCTGTCGTCGCGAGCGGGAAATTGGCCGGAAAGCTACAGACTGGCGCCCGCGGCCCGAGAGGGGGGAGCGGCTGCGGCTACGCGGCGGCCCCGCTAAGGGGGGGGGGCGCGGCCCATGGTGGCCCCACCCCTGCTCACGAGAGAAAATGGCAGCGGCACATACATCATGATGAGAAGGGGGAAGGCAGAGGGAAGAGTGCGCTGCAGCGCGCGCAAGAAGAACATGCATCTATTTCGCAAACTCCTCTGCATAACCTCCAGCAGGCTTGCAATCCCTACCGCGCGCCTCCACGCGTGCACGCGCGCCGTCGCCATTCCG